ACAAGATATAAAGTTAATACAATTATTAATTTGGTAGACCAGGCTATTTTACTCTCTGACTCACGCTTCCACACGACTAACATTAAAATCATCAAAATTATTCTTGAGAACAATTCTTATCCTTCTCATTTCATCGAAAAACACATTAAAAGAAGATTACAACATTTAAAACATCACACTCGTCCCGATATCACGGCCTCTTTGGACTTACACCAAGATTTTAGTAATAACATCACATTTCCTTTTGTTGGTACAGTCAGCAATATAATTCGGAATATTTTAAACAACCAACATCTGGACAAACGTTTTTCCACTCCTAAAAAATTAGACTTGTTAATTAGAAAAGGGAAGGATAGAATTGATGATTCAAAACGGACTGAACTTGTCTACCAACTTAATTGTGCCGATTGTGATGCGATATATATCGGTCAAACCAAAAGACACATTACTACACGAATTAACGAACATCGCAGTGATCTCAAGAAACTTGCTGACAATCACTCGGTTGTTAGCAAGCACCGTAATCTTTTAGGACATGATTTTTGGTTAATTTCATTGATTAGTGGTATCGATAACAGGCTGTATCGATAAGCACGCGACATAGCATTTTAGTTCTAAGCGCCGCCACGAGAGATCGAGCGCGATCCAGCGCTGTAGCGCAGAGACGAGTTAGTCGTCGTCCTTCGTCCGAAGCACATTGTACGTGCGAACAGCAAGTTTATTTAGACGAAATACATTCTCTTTGTAAAAACCGAGGAACTACAGGCCTTCAGCTCATTACAAGCCGTCCACGTTCCCACCATATAGTCCTTCGAGCCGGATCCTCATCACAGAGACGAGAAAATTCTCCAATAATTAGAGTGTGAGAGAGGAAAGGCACGTGCAACTGGGACTACAACCGGACGACGAGGCAATCACGGGACGCTACAACCCGTTGAACTGTCGAACTCGACGAGAAATCCATACATCCACGAGTACACGTTAAACGTCGACAAGTCAAAGGCTCGACTTAACGCTGTACGATCCAAATCACAACCAGACGTCGACAAGTCAAGGCGACGAAACGCTGTCGAGAGAGGCCATCTTGCGAAGCTACGGCTGGAAACGAGAAGCGACCGGTACAACGAGGCCGTGTGCCTGCAACCATACCACGACGATCGGCTGGCGAGAGGCGGGGGAGGCCGTGTGCCTGCGACCACACCACGACGATCGGCTAACGAAAGGCGAGATCCTGCACACCTGAAGCGGCAAGGAATCACATATCAACGAGCTACGAGACACACAGCAGCCATATTGGACAACGCAGACGGCGGGAAGTCACAGCAGTCATTGTTGGAGAAGGACGAAGCGCCGTATAACAGCCATATTGGACAAAGCGAAAGCGGCCATCTGTACGTTAGGCTTAAGGCAGTAAACGCACCGGTACGCATCCGTATTATCACATTTTGAACATTACTTTCGCTTAACGGTAGTCTCACACATTAATTAAGTAAAATGGCAAATACGCTAAAGGAATATAGACAGAGACGAGGCACTCTGAAGGCTCAACTCACGCGATTCACTACCTATCTTGACAGATTCACTGAAAATAGAGATGAGCAACAATTGATCGAACGCGCGACTGACATGAAATTCGTAAGACAGGAATTTAATACAATACAAGATGCGATAGATTTATTAAACGAAGGTAAACTCACGGAAATAACAAGAATACCAACTCACGCACCAGTAATACGGCAAAAATCAAAACTAATATCGTTACGAATCAAACACGATCCCATTGTCCCGTGTGTTCAGAAAATCATTATATATATGCGTGTCAAAAGTTTTTGGGACTCGATGCAAGGGAAAGGGATAGTACTGTTAAGACAAAGGGTCTTTGCTTCAATTGTTTAAAGCCCAATCATTTAGCCAATGTATGTAGGTCAGGTCATTGTCGAAAATGCACAGCCAAGCATCATACATTGCTCCACCCCACAGAAACACAAGTTAACGATACGGACAACCGAAAAACTGATAATTCAGGTGCCTCTTGCTTGCATGCTCGTATTTCATCGGAGGTATTGCTTTCAACTGCGATAGTTTACATTCAAAATGCTGACGAATTACGTGAAATTTAAGTGTACTCCGGTGCACAATCTAATTTCCTAACAGAACGAGCATGTGCTAAACTGGGCATAAACAAGAAGAGGATTGAGAATCCGATAGCGGTATCGGGATTCAACGTCAACATCACGCAACTCAAGGAGGCTGTAAATGCTACAATCAGTTCGATAGACAGAAGATTCACAACAAGACTAAACTTCCTGATAGTCTCGGTAATAACCGACGATCTTCCATCCAGATTCATCAAACATCAAACACTGAAGCTGCCTGAACACATTGAACTGGCCGATCCAGAATTTTATAAACCATCCAAGATAGACGCTCTCATTGGAGCAGAGCTGTTCTACGAATTACTGTGCGTCGGTCAGATACGGCTCAATAGCAACAAGGGGATCCTACTGCAAAAAACTCGGCTGGGATGGTTGATAACCGGAAAAATTGAGTGCTCAGGAGTAACCACCAAGCAATCGTTATGCCACATTGCACGAGACCTTGAGCAACAAGTCGAAAGATTCTGGGAGATGGAGCAAGTCTCTGGAAAAACTCACATGTCAAGCGAGGAAAGGGAGTGCGAACTCCATTTTATTCAAAACACTACAAGAGACGACAGCGGTCGATACATTGTTAGGCTTCCATTCAATGATAAATTGAGTGAGCTGGGAAATAACAAGCAAAACGCAATGAGAAGATTAGTCTCACTGGAAAGACGACTAATGCAAAACGAGGACATGAATACAGGATATGGGAACTTCCTTGATGAATACAACACTCTCGGGCATATGCAAGAGACGTCAGAGCTACTTGCCGACACTGACGGCTACTTCATACCACACCATGCAGTTTTCAAGGAGACAAGCCAGACAACAAAACTCAGAGTAGTATTCGATGCCTCTGCAAAGAGCGATACTGGAGTATCCCTTAATGACACCCTGAAGGTGGGTCCAACGGTACAACAGGACTTGTTTTCAATCATTACTCGATTCCGGACTTATACATTTGCCATGACGGCAGATCTGGAGAAAATGTACCGACAGGTGCGAGTACATCCTGCGGATTGTAACCATCAAAGGATTTTGTGGCGAGTTAACAGCACGTCTCCCATAAAGATATTTGAACTCAGGACGTTAACATATGGCACAGCAGCAGCAGCCTTCCTAGCTACAAGATGCCTAAAACAGCTGGCATTAGATGAAGGCGAGAAGTTTCCTCTTGCCAAACGAGCCTTATTACAAGACTTCTACGTAGACGATGTCCTTACGGGTGCTTTTGATCTAAACCAGGCATTGGCATTGCGTGACCAGCTCATTCAAATAACACGACAAGGAGGATTCAACCCTAGGCAATGGCGCTCAAATGCGGCTGAACTACTAGAAGGACTTACGGATAATGAGCAGGGTACTTACAATTGTTTGAGCAACGTTGGCGCCCTCAAAACACTGGGTGTCTATTGGAATCCCATAGGCGATTTATTATTATTTCGTATCACCACAGATCCCAAGGGCAAGGAAAACACTAAAAGAAGAATTCTATCCAGAATAGCAACACTGTTTGATCCACTGGGGCTTCTAGGACCTGTAATTGTAAAGGCGAAGATCATTTTGCAATCCCTGTGGAAATATAAATTGGGCTGGGACGAGGCTGTTCCGCAAGAGATTGCCACTAGTTGGAATAAGTACAACTCAAATTTGGGCCTACTAAATGACTACAGCATACCTCGTAGGATACTTGGGAGTGTTTCAGGAGAAATACAATTGCACTGTTTCTGCCATGCAAGCGAGAGTGCCTTTGGAGCATGTATGTACCTCAGAACAAGCAAGGAATCGGAAACCATGGTCAGATTAATATGTTCCAAGACTCGAGTTGCTCCCATGAAGCAGACATCACTTCCTAGATTGGAACTGTGCGCTGCACAACTACTCGCCAAATTATACGACGTGAATATAAACGCGATGAACATCCAATTTTCACGAGTTTATTTTTGGTCAGATTCTACCATAACGCTCAACTGGATCAAGACCTCCCCGCATAGGCTGAAGACGTTCGTGGCGAACCGAGTCTCGGAAATTCAAGGGATCACTCAAGGTCACGAGTGGCGTCATGTGCCATCAGCTGACAATCCCGCGGACGCTCTCTCACGCGGTCAATTTCCAAACGAATTCATCGAAAATCGGATTTGGAGAGAAGGTCCGGACTGGCTGCAGAAGAATGAAGAGGAATGGCCTGAAAACATCATCCCTGGTATAGACGTTCCTGAACAGAAAACTCGCGTTTTTCTACTCTCATGGACCAATGCACTGGAGCAGAATATCATCGGTATTATTAATAATTTTTCATCACTTGGCAAAATTTCTCGCATAATGGCATATGCGTTGCGCTATGTTGCGTATTTAAGGAATAAGAAGTTAATTAAGGGCGATATAAACTCCGATGAAATGCGAGCAGCGCTACACTACGTTATCAGAATAGTTCAATCCGTCTCTTTTCCCACTGAGATCAGTTGTTTGAAAACCAATCGTCCAATAGATCGTAAGAGCAAATTACTACCCCTATCTCCATTTTTAGATGACACTTTGCTGAGGGTGGGTGGTAGACTAAAACATTCCGAGTTAGAGTATGACAATAAATATCCGATTTTATTGCCTTGTAACAATCATCTATCTAAATTACTCATTGTGGAGACTCACGCCAAACTTGCACATGCAGGAGCGCAAACGACTTTATATGCATTGAGACAAGAATATTGGATTTTAAATGGTAAAATGTATGTAAAGAAGCTCTTACGAAAATGCGTTCCCTGTTTTCGAGTTAAACCCAAGATACCTAATCACTTAATGGGCAATTTACCAAGGGACAGACTTCAATGCTCTCGTCCATTTGAAAATATAGGCGTGGACTTTTGTGGTCCATTCTTTGTAAAGGAAAGAAAGTTTCGAAATAGAAATAAGATTAAGATTTACGTCTCAGTATTTATATGTCTAGTCACAAAGGCGATCCATTTAGAGGTCGTCAGCGATCTCACCACCGAAGCTTTCTTGGCGGCATTAAAGCGATTTTTCTCGCGTAGAGGTAAGGCTAAAATAATATATTCTGACAATGCGACAAATTTCGTAGGGGCTAACAATAAACTGACCGAGTTGCACCAATGCGTAGAGCGAAATTTGTCTCAGCTTCAGTCACAGCTCACCAATGAAGGAATAACGTGGAAGTTTATCCCGCCTAAATCACCTCACTTTGGCGGTATTTGGGAATCAGCTGTCAAAAGCTTTAAGCATCATTTACACCGAGTAGTTGGTGAGTCATTGTTCACCTTTGAAGAGTTCAATACCTTCATCATCGAGGTGGAGGCAATCTTGAATTCCAGACCGTTAACTGCAATGTCAATAGATCCTAACGATTTAATAGCATTAAGTCCAGCGCATTTCTTAATAGGCACTTCACTTACTACTGTTCCAGAGCATGATTTCGTTGATGTACCGATCAATCGCCTGTCTAATTGGGAGCATATTCAACGCGTTAAACAACATTTTTGGGAAAGATGGTCGAAAGAATATCTCAATGAACTACAACAAAAATATAAATGGTTCATCAAAGATGAAACTAATGTCAAAATTGGATCACTAGTAATGTTAAAGGAAGATAATATGCCTCCAATGAGATGGATAATTGGCCGTATCGTTGCATTACATCCAGGTGATGACAATATTGTGCGTGTTGTTACTGTAAAAACCAATAGCGGACTGTACAAACGTAGTATAAGAAAATTAGCATTGTTACCCATAGATTGATAGATTGAACCATCGTTCAATGGGGGGCGGTATGGTTAATTTCATTGATTAGTGGTATCGATAACAGGCTGTATCGATAAGCACGCGACATAGCATTTTAGTTCTAAGCGCCGCCACGAGAGATCGAGCGCGATCCAGCGCTGTAGCGCAGAGACGAGTTAGTCGTCGTCCTTCGTCCGAAGCACATTGTACGTGCGAACAGCAAGTTTATTTAGACGAAATACATTCTCTTTGTAAAAACCGAGGAACTACAGGCCTTCAGCTCATACAAGCCGCCCACGTTCCCACCAATTTTGATTGGTCTAACCCGTTAATTTTACATAATGAACAACATTATAAAAAACGAGAAATTGCTGAGATGTTTTACATCAAGAAATTTATTAAGCATACTATAAACTTACAACAGGATACCGATAACCTGAGCTCTATTTATGATAAAATTGTACGCACTACTTGACCTTTTATTTACATGTATATATAACTATTTACTTATTTGTCTTGCGCATCTCGTGTTTTTGACCTATCTGACAAACGTTGATCTCTCGATATTTTAATGCTATCAGTCTTCTACCGACCTTTCACAACAATTGACGTCCTTTTAAAATATTTTATATCTACTCCATATGTGTTACTGTGCAGAGTGATTCGTTCCTCCATGTATTCTTATATTATTACCAATGTTACCCGTAAGTTTTTAAGATGTGGTTTTAAGATACGTTAGATTTGTAACATTTGACTTATTCCACATTAATCATGTTTTAGATTTTTTGCTGTCACATCTAATGGGTTGTTAAGAATTTTTTAATACTTGATAAGGACCAGTATTACTGGTCGAAACGTTGTATGTTCTAAACGAAATATATTGTGCCAGTTAATTGTCGACGTTATCCTTATTATTTGTTAAACTGGAAAATCTAATCACATGTTAGTTTTTCGATCTGATGCGCGATTCTCGAAAATATTGAAAAATGTCATTTTTGCGTTTTCAGCGCCATCTATTAAGATTACAAAAAATGTTTCAGACAAAACTTACGTACTTTTTAACGTGGAATGCGAATCTGTTATAAAAAGTGAGGGTTCCCATTTTAGATTTTAAAGTTGTCCCCCGCCCCTCCCACAGGGGTGGGGGCGGGGGGGGGGGTCAATTTTGGTATCATTCGATAGCTCTTTCAAAAATAGGAAATACGTATTTTTCCGCTTTTCGATCCACCCACAATTTCTCGGGATATTCAACCGTTCCGGGACTTTTAGACCACCTGTATATATACAGGGTGTCTGATGCAAAAGTAGCCAACTTAAAAATAGTGGTAGATTGGGTTAAACTAATTGTAAGGAGAAATATCATGTGCCGCGGTACAAATGTAACAATAGTTATCGAGTAATTAATTTACACGTCTGAGCAAATGAGGATGCAGAATACGGTAGGCTGGACTCGGAAGGCATTTAAGAAAATCGATCGATGAGCGGGAGGTGGAGCGACGCGCGAGATACTATGTTTATGTTTCGGGTCGCCCGTCGCTCGCGCTCGCTGCCGTGCTCGCCGCCCGCGCCGCGCTACCCGCCGCGCCTAGGTTTTTTCCAACCACGGTGTATCTCGCGCGTCGCTCCACCTCCCGCTCATCGATCGATTTT